ATATATATAATGTATAATATTAAAACGGACAAGACACATTTGTGATTTTTCCGAGTTATTGAATTGTTTTGTTTTGCAGTGAAACGGGTGGTCTGGGGGTTAAAATGGTGGAGTATGTTCTTGGATCGAGCCCTACGACGCCCAAAGATTTGGAACCCAGGATGGTGTCTCTGAGATTGGTAAGCATACGGGGACGAGATGAAATGTCGAAAGGACATAGAAATACATATTCGACGATTTTTATTGAAGCATATTTTTTTGTTTTCGTTGCGCAGAACACCGATGCAGATAAGAAAGAAAAAGAGAAGGGCTCGGCAAGTCCTTTTGACAGTTCTAAGGACGACACAGGTCCGCAAAACAATGGATTAGCATCTCAAAATGGTCTTGATGATGATAAAGGGTTTAAGTGAGTATCAACTGTTGTCGTGAGATGCACCAATGATACACATAGTATTGTATAAAAATGTAAAAGGATGTAAAGATGTTTGTATTACGTAAAGAAACGGAGATTGTTGTTTATCAGGCGCAATCTAGGACAAATTCAGATTTCGCGTTAATGATTCTGAGTGAAAAAATTTGCTGCTATTCTTGTACAGCTATATATAATTGCTTTCAATTAAACGAATGTAAATGTAAATGTGTCACACGTTGTTCGTGAACAATTGTTATTCCTACGAGGATTTAGGAACATAATAGTGTTAATTGTCAAGGATATGTATGTTCTACTCGGCGGACGATGACATCATAAGCTTGTCACACCGGTGTTTGTTGTGCCATCATTGTACGCCATCTGGTGTTCCGTTTGTTCTTCATCTACTCAATGTTACCGACATCCATGCGATTTAAACATCACTATGATTTCTTTTAAGCATCACTATGGTTTCTTTGTTTGGTTAAATAACAATTCTTAATTTATTTATTATTATCACTCCTTAATTTTTAATTAAGTACCATTATAAATTGTATTGTATATTTAAAAAAACTATGAACTATCGACAGGAACATTTTATTTGATCGTCAATTTTTGTTCCATTTTGTTTTGAAATTGAACATTGAGATTAATTAGATACTAAAATAAAACATTGAGATTAATTAGATACTAAAATAAAACATTGAGATTAATGATTATAGAACAAAATATTAGAACTTGTCTTACCGGTTTCATTTAAGAATTTCGTTATGGTAATGATGTTTGCTTGTTATTATGTGATTGTCACACTTTCGTTTCTCGTAAGATCAAAGGTCTTTAAATGTAAATTATATTGTACCTGTCATTATACAGAATGTATCATTACGTTGTATCGCTAATTTATTATAATTAGTAGTTTTTGCACGACAAGTTCATTTTTTTGAACATTATTTAGTCATCATAAGTACGATACTTGATATTTTGCATGAGAAATATTCTATAAATGATGTTTAATTAGTCACATAGAGAAGAGTGAGACAAGCTTATTTCGTCAGGAAATTAATTACAATTTTCTAACTGCTTTTATCAAGTTAATAAATCGTTATCAAAACGTGTAAAACTAGTTAGAATCAGATCCATGACATTTACAACTACAGTGTTATAACGGTCAAGGAAAGCTACGTCACTTTCTTTATATAGAAAATAAGAACAACAGTCTAGTGGTATTATGTTGCACAATCGCTTCCTCACCTTAGACCAGTTAAAGACTGAGTTGAATTTACAAGAAATTCAATTCTTCATTTTTCAAGATTCAAATTACATTCTTGATAGAATCTCAAATTTAAATCGTCAAATTCGTCACAAAGTGTTGAAACTCATTGCTCGATATTGTCTTTCGCTTTCGTTAATCAGACATTTTACCGTGAACAGAAAAACATCTGGCATTATCGATGCACAAATATGTAGCCATTATACACAACTTTTTCATGCACGTTACAGTGCACGTTGATTCATGAGTGACTTACGCATCCTTTATTTTCGTACGTACACTCAGTAAGAACGGTTTATATTTCCGCATATCTTTGTTGAACACATTGTACTCTACAGCGTATCGTACGCTGCTTTCAATCGAAATGAATCGGCGAAATGCGTGAAATAGAGCATGAAGAGATGAAAAGTATTTGATTCCACGAACCCCAGAGACAGTTGCCTCTTCCTGATTCTCGTAACAAAACGGAGTTACGATTAATTATAATAGTATTGCGGTTGCGCCCGTTTGGTTATTCAGCTGACTGCTGTTTTACCTGACAATTATTACCATTGTTTCCAAAATATTATTTCCACTGTATGAACAATCTCTTTCGCTGAAAGAAGAACGTATCGTTTAATGCCGTCTCTCGTCTTTCATTTGCAGCCGTACACCAGGGAGTCGCCAACCCTCGCCAGGCGAAGAAGAATTTCAGAAGAACGCTGCAACGACTCTCGTGAGTGCCGGCGGTGGCGGAGTCGTGTTGCTAAAACCTGGCGTCGATGTGGTTGGAAGCGAGGAACATTTCATGGCCGCGTTTGCACCGGCTCCGCCGCATCATCTACAACATCATCAAGCTCCGCCGACACATCATCTGCAACACCCACACTCGCACGCGGCGCAGCTCTTTGGTGCACAGGCTCCGCCACCCCCACAGGGTCCGCCACCTTCCCAGCAACAGCAACAGCAACAGGGACCTCCGCAGCCACAAGATACCACCACTCACTTTGATGTTCAGGTAAGTCTCGACCTTATTGTGTCCCCCTTCTTTCATTCAACGAGATCTCCGGCGAACTCGGAGAAAAGAATATCCCTCTCTCGGAGGAACGCGACTTTTGAGGAGGCACGAAACGGCATGCGTATAATATAAGGAGTAACGAACGGGCAAGAGTACGTCCTTTCGTCTCTGCGATTTCATCGTGCAAGCGAAAATTTACCTGCGCGGTGATGTTCAGGTTGTTATCGGTCGATTATTCTTGGAATACAGTTGAGAGTGATTCTAGCGGATTATCAGAAGGTTGTTTCTGGTTCGCGGAATATTTTGGCACAACGATTAATAAATCAGAGATGCACTCGTGAATTGTGAAAGCAATCGGATCAGTTTACATAGACGATAGACGTTTGCTGATTATTATCAAAGGCTGTTTGATCAAGTAGCTCGGCGAAGCTCGTGCATTAACCGACTAAGACGGCTACCGGTGCACTTCATACGTTTCCGTTGCCACTTAAATTGAATATTTCAGCGAGATGCTTCGCTGCAGGAGAGAATATTTGAAGAGAGTTAACCCAAAGATGTTCTTTGTTTTGTTCGTCACCCATGTAGGAAAGTATGTTAATTACTCAACGAATATGACCGTGGATTATGCCGTAGGCATAATGTTTCGCAATGTCACGCGTCGAAGCAGTACCATTTGGTTTGGCCGACCTTGGCACTCGAAAAATCCGTAATAGTTTCAGAACGGCTAAGGATATTTAAAGTCTGTAGATAGTTTTCCACGACGAAGGGCGTTGCTACCGGCGTGTTAATTTAGCGATTGTCGCAACTAGGAAGAGGTTATTTTTAAGCAGCAATCAGCTGATACTAACGAGCGGTCCAACCACTGAGCAACCCTCTTGTACTCGGGTTCTCGACGGACTTCCTTCGCTTTTGAAGTAGCGTTTCATTCGAACGAACCTGCCTGCCGAGGGATGAAGATACAAGCGTGTAACAATAGAACGGCCGAAATAGTTTGCACGATTTACTAGCATTTTCACCGAAATCATCGATGAATTGTTAGCCGTGTACCGACTGCATAATGAACGTATAGAACGGACGTTTATTTCATCGATAATATGGTGACTTGGCAAACCGTTGACATTTACGAGTTGACAAATTCCTTTCTGTGGAAGATGCGGCGGCACTTTAAAGCAAATGTAAAAGCAACTGAACGATACGGGAAACTTTTGAAATTCCAAGCGTTTATTTGTTCTTCGTTTTTTTTTTTTTTTTTTTTTTTTTTTTTTTTAGAGCATGGCCAGCAGAAAAATATAGACGTGT